TATATATACTGTATATATATTAGCTCAGCGCTAGCGCAGCAAACTAACAAGCTTAACTGAGGTCCTCCATCCATATTTTCATTTGCAGACTGAGTCATTTTTGTGTTCCCCTCTCTGTCATGTAGATGGAGGACCTCAGTGACAAGAGGAGAATGTGTAGCGCTGAGCAAGTACATAYATATGGTGATAGCGTCGGGGCTACATTTCTACAGCCTAACCCTGACCACAAACCCTAAGGCTAACCTCACAGGTACCAACCTGACCCTAAAACTAACTTAAACTCAATTCACATCTTGGTCCTAAACCCAACCCCCAACCCACCAATGGCATTTAAAGCAAAAGGGGACTCGATGTTTGTCYCCAAATGCACCAGTTGTCCCCAAAGGTAGGATTTTTGTCTGAAAATTGCCCTCAATTGTCACCAAAGCTGTAACCACACACACAGCACGCACGCACGCACACACACACACACACACACACACACACAGCATTATTTATCTGCCTTTGTCACGGGGCTGTATATGTTAGATGCTATGAACAAATTTATTTTATTTTTTTCCACTTGTACCTTTGTCTTTAGCTGCTAGTTGTCCCTACACCTTTGGTACCTAAATAGACGACAAAAGATTTTGGGGTATGTCTGGTGATGGGGTTCAGAGTGACATATATTTTCATGAAGGTGCCCCTAAACACACACACTCACACCCTGTCAAAAGGTCCGCTGGCTTCCTCTTTTGCTTCCTGTCTTCCTCATCTGGACCCAGACCCTTCTGAAACCTCAACACACATTCCTCCGAACAACAACAAAAAAAGTCTTCTAAGATTAAAAGGATCTCTGCTTCGATGAGAGGCAGAGGGGGTCACCAACATCAAAGTGGGGTAGGAGGGGAAAGTGAATGAGCAAAGTAATGAGGTGCTATTGAGGAGTTAAGAAAAGAGAGATGGGCCTTTGGGGATAAAGGAGGAGAGAACAGGCTCAGGGAAAAGACAAGATAAGTTGGAGTAGCAGCACTGAAAKGCAGGTTATAGGCCCAGTTTACGCATCAATGATTTTGAGTGAAACCAAAGCATTTCTGCTGCGGTTCGGCCATTTGTGTACATGAGTATCACACTCATTTCCTCTGAAACTGAACCTTTTTGAATCCAGGTCTAAGAGTGCAGGAGGGAACCATCCTGCAGTGATATGGAACTGTGCACTACTGATGGCTGCAGTCAATAGTTTTTCAGTGCT